CCTGGAATACCTGAGCCTGCCCCTGGCACACGACCAAAGCCAGGTCTAATGTTCAGCAGCAGAAATTGCCATGTTATAAAAACCCAGAGAGGACAGATCCCGTGTGTGCCATGATTCCTGCCACACCCAGCCCTCCCTGATCCCCAAACCTTCTGGGGTTTTACCCCCATCTCCTTGCTAGCTGGGATGCTCTTGTGTGGTGTTTGTGAGGTCCCCAGGACGAGGTGAGAGGTGAGAATCTGACTCCATGTTCTCAGAAGGCTGAGTTATTATTTGATTATATGATATTAAAGGATGCTATACTAAAACTATACTAAAGAAAGAGAAAGGATGTGGACAGAAGGCTTAATAAGAATGATGATAAAAACTCATCCCCAGGATGAGGTGAGAGATAAGAATCTGAGTCCTTGTTCTCAGAAGGCTGATTTATTATTATATTATATTATATTATATTATATTATATTATATTATATTATGCTATACTAAAACTATACTAAAAAAAGAGAAAGGATACAGACAGAAGGCTTAACAAGAATGATGATAAAAATTCATCCCCAGGACGAGGTGAGAGATGAGAATCCGACTCCATGTTCTCAGAAGGCTGATTTATTATTTGATTATATTGTATTAAAGAATGCTGTACTCAAACTACACTAAACTATAGAGAAAGAATACAGACAGAGGGCTAGAAAAGAATGAGGAATTGAGAATTTGACTCCATGTTCTCAGAAGACTGATTTATTATTTTATTATATTAAAGAATGCTATACTAAAACCATATTAAAGAAAGAGAAAGGATGCAGACAGAAGGCTTAACAAGAATGATGATAAAAACTGGTGACCGACTCCTCAGAGTCTGACACGGATTGGTCATTAAGTAAAAACAATTCACATGTTTGGATAAACAATCTCCGGACCACATTCCAGAGCAGCAAAACACAGGAGAAGCTGAAGCTTCTCAGCTTCCCAGGAGAAAATCCTGGGCGAAGAGGAATTTCCAGAAAATATCACGGTGACACTCTTGGATCCCAAGGCATGGGGAAAGCCCCACCCACCCATTCATCCGTCGGTCTGTCTGTCCATCCGTCCGCCAAACCCCAGCGTGCGGAGGGGGGCTGGAAGGAGGGATGGAGGGGTGCGGGGGGATGGCCCCGGTGACAGCAGCCTGTCGCCGTCTTGCCTGGCTGCCAGACCTTAGCCCTGGTGTCGGGTCTAAGGTTCGCTGCTCCGGGCTGCCTCTCCCACCTTTGGCACCGCTGCTTTCGCTTTTCGCCGCTCCCGGCACGGAGGGGCTGGAACACGCGGATGTTTGTCACCCTGTCACCCCTGACACACGGACTGGGGACAGCGAGCCTTCGGGAAGGTAAAGGCATCCTCTGCTCAGGAATTCCCCTCCGGGCAGGGAATCCCGCGGCCCCAGCCGCCCTCTCCAAGGCGCCTTTCCCAGGCGGGCTCCGGAATCCTCCCACGCTCCCGGGGCAGCCCCGCATCCGAGGCACGCAGGGTGGCCCGGTCCGCAGTGGCTCCTGCCCAGCAGGAGAGGTTTTAGGAAGCTCTCTGTCCTTCCCCCATCCTCCCAGGGCTCAGCAGAGTCTGAGCAGTCTCTGGGCAGTCCCGTTTATTGCAGCTTTACTTCCCCTCGTGGTTAATGATCCTCATTCCCTTCCCCTTCACCTTGAGGGGCGCTGCTTCTTCTGAGAGATCATCGCTGTGTAAATCTAATATTTACACATTGTGTCTTTGCAGTTGGGATTGCTGTATCCCCTGGTAGCCCTGGCTTAAGTGAACTTCCTGAGTGGCCACTCTCTTACTTAAGCCAGAGCTTAAGCAGGTGGGAAGAGGGTCCCAAAAGCAGAGGAGAGCTTTGAGCTGAATGCCAGAACTTAACTGGGGAGGTAGGTGCATAACAACTATCTTCTGTGTGGGGGGGAGAAAAGTTAAGTATCTAAATCTGAAAGAACCTGAAATATTGTGTCCAAAACCTGCAGAGTTAAACACTGCAGACTTACACAGTTAAGTGTTGAAGTCCTGTAATTTTTCTGAGGTGCTTAGTAATTTTGTTCTGGTTCACCCTTGCACCCCTTTGCAGAAACTCAGCAAATGGCTTTAATGGTATTAGGACCTAGATTACCTAGACCTCATTACTATTTGTAATGAGTTAGACATCATTACACTTAAACAACACTAATTTCCCAGGAAGCTAAACAGGGTTTTAAATAAGACTTCTCAGTGACTCCATCCCCAAAGGCATGCCTGACTTTCCTTTTATTACTGCTTTCCTTTGGAAATAAAAGGGCTTATCCCCTGACAACAAATACACCAGGATCCCTCCAGCCCAGGTTAAAGATGCTGAACACAATTTCCTGGGTGCAGCAATGTTTAATCCTCTGCTAGGAAGTGAGAAGTGATTGGTGTTGTGGCTGTTTGGGAACTCACCTTCAGGACAAGTGTAGGATCCAGCAATCCTGCCCCTAACATCTGTGCTAGACACAGCTGCCACAAAATATCAAGCTGTACCTGGAGACTAAATCCACCAGCAGGGTTTTACAGCTGATTGAAGAGAAATTGGTTTGTTTTCTCTGACTACACTGGATCTGAGCAGGTTCAGCTTTCCTGCCCCTCAGTGTGGCCTCTTGGCACAAGGAGAGGACCTGCACCACCTCAGCTGCTGCTCCCCAAATTGATGACTGTGGATATCTGGATGCTTTCCCCACAGTCCCTCATCCAGGAAGTGCAGGATTTACTCTGTACTCTCATTTTCCAACAAAAAAAAAGAGGACAAAACCCCCACCATTTCCCCCTAAATCCTGTTTTCCATTGAATCAGAACAAAGCCGCTTGTTTTGCTTCCTTCAGGTGGGAAGGGAGCCTCACCCTCTGCCTCCTAACATGGGGAAAAAATTACTTCAAGTGAGCTTTGGCAAAACTCATGGCAGTAAATCTCTGGTGGGTTTTGTTCCAGCATCAACCCATCTTTCTAATGTTGAAGAGAGAGCAGCAGAGGGAAATGATGAGAAACTGTGTTTAATACAGACAGCCTTGGGTAGTTTTCAAGCATCTTCCTGTTTCCTTAGAGAGTTTTATGGCTTACCACTGACAATAACTGCCCAGGATGGATGGCAGTCTTGTTTCCAGCCTACAGAGAGGCAAATGTATGTAATCAATACCCTAAGGAGCACAATCATGCTGTGCCACAGGGCTTATCTTCTTCCTGCTTGAAAAATATGACTAACTAGCTGTTCTGCACAAACTAAAATCCTGCTCTTCATCACAGGGCTGCATGAGCTGGGGGAGATGATGTTACTTGTGTTTTTTAAGGGGATTAAAAGCCTGTCTCACCCAGCAGAAAAAACTGCTTGGATCCAAAGACACAGACCTGGGTTCAGCCAAGGAATGCTCTTAATGACAAGCCTTAATGAAGAATGAAAGGTCTGGAGCCTGCCAGATTGCACAGGGAGGACAGGCAAAATAAAGGAGCCACGTGGGATGAGCAGCTCACAGAAACAAGGGGCTTTTGTCAGGGAGGCAACTGCGGGGATCAGGGAGCTGCAGGGAGGGAACTGCAGGGAGGGAATTGCAGGGAGCAGGGAGCAGCAGGGAGCTGCAGGGAGGGAATTGTAGAGAGCAGGGAGCTGCAGGGAGCTGCAGGGAACTGCAGGGAACTGCAGGGAGGGAATTGCAGGGAGCAGGGAGCTGCAGGGAGCTGCAGGGAGGGAATTGCAGGGAGGGAATTGTAGGGAGCTGCAGGGAGCTGCAGGGAGGGAATTGCAGGGAGCAGGGAGCTGCAGGGAGCTGCAGGGAGGGAATTGCAGGGAGGGAATTGTAGGGAGCTGCAGGGAGCTGCAGGGAGGGAACTGCAGGGAGGGAATTGCAGGAGCTGCAGGAGCTGCAGGGAGCTGCAGGGAGGGAATTGCAGGGAGCAGGGAGCTGCAGGAAGGGAACTGCAGGAGCTGCACAGCTGCTGCTGCTGTAGGTGTCTTTGTAAAGGCACTTCTTGCTTCCACAGCCAAATCTCTGAGGCTCAGGTAGAAATTGCACCAATTCTTCATCATAGATCTTGCAGATCCCTGCTGTCTGCCCCCCCCAGGGCTTTATTCCACGTGGAGGGAATGCCCCCACTCCAGCAGAGCTCAGCCTGGCATCCTGCTCAGCCCAGCACCCCGGGAACTTCCCTCTCTCCTTTCTAAGTGTCCACATGAGCTGAGTGTTTCTGGAGGAGGAGCTCTGTGAGGAGGAACCAGGGCAAAGCAGGGCAAAGTGTGCTTTGCTGCCCGGCACTGGCACTTCCCACCCAGCAGTGGCACTTCCCTGGCCCAGGGCTGGGAGGAGGGGACACCCGTGTCCCCCAGGAGGGCTCCCACCGACCAAGGCTCTGCAGCAGCTCTCCTCCACTCAGGTTTGAGGCAATCCCCCTTTCCTGCCATCCCTGGGCACTGCAGGGCGGCCTGTCACACTCTGGGGTGACATGGGGGTGGCACTCCAGGGGTTTGGTTTGGCTGGGGGTCTTTAGCTGGGGTGCAGGGGCATTTGCCACCTGCTTTGTGCGCAGGGCTGCTCGCTCCTGAGGCTCTCCTGATGTAACTCCTAAGCAGGATCATAAATGTGGGACATCAGCCTAAGCTCTTCAGCAGGACTCCGGGGAAGGAGGTGTCCTGGAGAGCAAGGCACAGCCAGAAGGGATTTCCCTGTGCCGGGAAATCCCTCCAGCTCCTCCCTGTTAGAGGAGATGCACCAATCTCCTTGCCTACACCCTAGCAGGCTTCTGGCATCAGGTTTCTTCCCAAACATCTCCACCTTCTGGCCGTAGCTGACAGTGGCAGATGCTTTGATGCATTAAATGTGCAGTTTATTATATTAATGGCTCTGATTTCATTCCAGCGTGTTTCGGAGTTAATCCCACCTGCCCAGCTGCCAGCCAGGAGCTGCTGCAGGAGGCTCAGCCGATCCTGGGATCACTCACTGGCAGGTGACCCTCGAGCAGAGCTGGTGTCCTTGCAGGACATGGCACAGGCAGTGACACCAGAGGGGCCCCGTCCCTCCCACATGTACAAGGTGGTGATGCTGGGCAGCATGTCCGTGGGCAAGTCCAGCCTGGCCTACAGATACGTGAAGAACGACTTCAGGGAGCTGCTGCCCACCGTGGGATGTGAGTGAGTGGCTCCATGGCTCTGGACAAGAGACCAGGCCTGGTGCACTTCCCTGCAGAGGGGTGGGAGGCAGGAGAGCTGCTTGCTCCATCTTGCAGTAGCACAGACCCACTTTGGTGCAGATTTGCCCCAAAGCCAGATCCTCCCCTCTGGTGGGGTTCACAGGGGTCCCAGGACAAGGGGAGAGATGAGAATCTTGACTCCATGTTTCAGAAGGCTGATTTATTATTTTATGATAGATATTATATTAAAAGAAAATTATATACTAAAACTATACTAAAAGAATAGAAGGGATTTCATCAGAAGGCTAGCAAGGAATGAAGTGGAAAGATAACAAAAGCTCCTGACTCTCAGACAGTCCAACCCAGCTGACTGTGATTGGCCATTAATTAAAAACAACCACATAAGACCAATCACAGATGCACCTGTTGCATTCCACAGCAGCAGATAACCATTGTGTACATTTTATTCCTGAGGCCTCTCAGCTTCTCAGGAGAAAAAATCCTGGCAAAGGGATTTTTCGGAAAATATCATGGCTACCTACACTCCCCCTTCGCATCTCTGCATTTCCAGGCCACACAAGCAAAGCCACATCCACATCACACAGGTCTGGCCTTGTGGTGCTGTTTAGAGGCAGGTGAGCAGCAGAATGATGAGTAAACTGTGCAGCCCATGTGCTCTTTGCACGCTGTGCTGCCTTCCCAGCTATTCAGGCACCCCAGGAGGGTCTCTTAGAAAGGTTTGCATTGAAGATCACCTGGTTTCAATTCCTACAGCACCTAGACATTATGTATATTCATTTTACCAGCTGCACCTGGGTTTTGCCAGGTTCAGCAGGCACAGCAGGTACAGAGGCTGTGATCCCACCTGCAGCTGGTGGAGCAGAGCAAAGTGGAGCTTCTCCTCTTGTCCCTCTGCTCATGGACCAGCCATCTGCTCCCTGAGGGAAAGGATGGAAGCTCTCCTCCAGTGGGAGCCCTTTCTGTGGATATTCCCATTCACAGCTCTGACCCACCAGCAAGGTGGAGCTGTCTCTATCCGGGGGCATTCTGCAAAGCTCAGAATTACCCAACATCAAACCTGGGTCATCCACCCAAATCTGCTGCCAGGAAGGGCCACCTCAGCCCAGTGCCAGTGATCACAAGGAGTCCCCCCTGGATTCTGTGCATTAGAACACCATTAACACCCTCAGGGCAGGGGATCTGAGCTCCCTGCTCCTGCTCCAAGTGAACACACCCCCTGGATCTTGCCTGCAGGCTCCTTCTTCACACAGATCCTGGAGCTGGACGAGGCCACTGTCAAGTTTGAGATCTGGGACACAGCGGGGCAGGAGAAGTACCAGAGTGTCTGTCACCTCTACTACAGGGATGCCCACGCTGCCCTCCTCGTTTATGACATTGCCAACAAGGTAAGGCCCCTGGCAGGACCCTGCCACCACCCAGGGGTGGTTCCTGCTGCCATGAATCCCATCCAAAGGGTGATTTATCCCTCAATGTGTTTGAGGGCTGGTGACCTGTTTCCCTGAGAGGGGCAGTCAGAACCTCCCCACCCTCACTGGTTTGGTGCCACTTAGCTGGCTTGGTGTGAGACAAAGGGATTAAATCAAAACCTGGTCACTGGGTGGCTCTGTCTCCATCTCTCCAGCAAACATTCAGCAGAGCAAAGCTGTGGCTGGAGGAGCTGGAGAAGAAATTCCTGCCTGATGAAATCGTGGTTGCTCTGGTGGGGAACAAGACAGACCTTGCTGCTGAGAGAGAGGTCACCACTGAGGTGAGTGCCTGGGCTTCCCTCATCACCCCTCACAGAAAGCACTGGGATACATCCAGGGAAAATTTCCAAAGAAGTCCAAGCATTTAAGAGGTTTTCAGACACCTCTGAAGTGCCTGTACATGAAATCCACCATAAAACTGAACAAGCAGCCCCAGAGGGGGCAGGGGAATAACTCTGCTCATTTCTCTCAGGAGGGGGAAGAATTTGCACGAACAAAAGGCCTCCTGTTCATGGAGACATCTGCAAAATCCAACCACCAGGTGAATGATGTCTTCATGGCCGTAGGTGAGTTATGGGATGGCTCTAGGTAAGAGCAGAGGCAGGTGAACCATGAAAGACTCAGCCCCTTCATTGCTCCTACTTGTCACTGAGATGTTCCTCCCAGCCAGTCAGCCCTTAAGGCAGAAGGATGGACAGATCCATCCAGATATATCCCAGTGTCAGGGAGGGTTTTCAGGCTTTCTCCCAGAGCCACAATTTTATTTTGCATTGGTATCCCATCTGTGAGTGCAATGCTGTCCCCAGCTCAGCTGTTCAGGAACTGCAGGATGGTGCCCCGGGGTGGGACACGGGGTGGCCATGGCACCCCAGCCTCTGGCAGGAGAAAAGAGCCCCCTTTTTGCCTTGTGTTTCCTCCTAGTCCAAGAGCTCCTGAGGAGGGAGAAAGAGAAGGCACCCAGGCCATCCCCACGTGGGAGCTCCACCGTGGACCTGAGGGGAAGTGGGACAAGGAAAAGGTGCTGCAGGAGCTGAGGATGTGACACTGTGCACCCAGCAGGGCTGGAGCCCACCTCCATAGGGGCAGTGACAGAGCTCAGAGCTCTGGGATAGCTCAGAGGAGGGCTCAGAGCTGCAGGGACAGCTCAGCCTGACCACCCTCCCTCTGAAATCCCACCCAGAGCCCATCCTGGCCTGGTACAAGGGGCCTCTTCAACCCCTTAGCTCCATCCTTATCCGGGAGATAAAGCACAGGGGTTTCCTCCACCCATCTCCCATTTCTGGATCAAGGCACAACCTGCCAGGAACACTGCCACCAAGCCTGACTGGTGACATCCCTCCACCCGCAGCTGTCACCTCCTCCATCTGCCTTTCCCTCTGAGAAGGGAGGGTTTAATTTCCCAAAGCAAAGATCCCGGTGGTTTTACACCCAGGCTGCAAGTAAAGAGAATATTGCCCTAAAGGTGTATATTTTTTCCCCCCCCTGCCCTGCATGTCAGCCTGTAGGGAACCACAGGAAGCCTGGGGGTGCCAGGGACCAGAGCCAGTGCTCTCCTCACCCCACCCCCCCCCATTACAGGGGTCACAGCCCATCCTTGGGGGCACTGAGCCACAATGAGGCCAAAGTCAATGTGTGGTGTCACAGTGCCCTGTGCCTTGCTGGGCCTCCCCTTTACACTGTGGGAGCTGCCCTTGGCTGGAAGAGGAGAAAAAGCCACCTGTGCTCTCTCCAGAGGCAGCAGCACTCACCCTGCCTGCGGGGCAGAGGGGTGGACACAGCATCACAATCCTCCCCAGGCGTTTCTGGGGTGCTGTTTCTGTCCCCAGCTCATGGAAATGAGGGTGTCGGGGGCACCCCTGGGAGCTGGCATGCCCAGGGGATACCCCTGGGAAAGGGGAGCCTCTGTGATTATTTTTGGGGTGTTTCTTGCGGCGTGAGGGGATAAACATGAGAGGGAAAGGCTGTCACACCAGCAGGGCGGGCAGCAACCCACGGTGACCACGCAGATTCGGGGGGGAGGTTTGGAACAGAGAGGCTGGCACGCAGGGCTGAGAGAGAAGGGATTTTATTGCCAGCCCGGTTCAGGGGCTCAGCTCCAGCCGGGGCGGGCGGGGAGCGGCGCAGCCCCGCTGAACGGCCCCGCCGGAGCGGCCACCCCCGCCCAGCGCCCGCCGCCGCCCGAAGCGCCCCACGGGCCGGATCCCGCGGCCCGTGTACCACGAGGGGTCGATGTCCGGGTCTGCGGGAAAAGCCGAGAGCCCGTCAGGGGGCTGGATGGAGGGGAAGGGGCATCGCGCCCACCGGTGAGGGGATGGGAGCACCAGGGGAGCAGGGAAGGGGGATGAGGAGCATAAAAGCCGTTGCAATTCTCTCTCAAAGCAGCTCCTGCACAGTGGCAGCAGCTCCTCACCCCCCAAATGGAGCTGAGCCGGGGGATGCAGAGGAGGGTGGCGGGATGAGTCCCTTACTCGTGTTCTCCTTACTCCTGATTTCCATGGAGCGCTCCAGGACGCGGCCGTGCGTGGCGGGCAGGCTCAGGCAGAGCAGCAGCAGCCACAGGAGGCAGGCGACCCCCAGCTTCATGCCTAGCTTCATCCCCAGCACTTTGGGCCGCTGTGACCGGGCTGTGAAGTCTCCTGAGCCCTGCTGAAGGCTCCGATGCCACTGCAGGAGAGAAGGGATTGGCTGTGGATCTGTGTCCCCAGGCCAGCAGCAAAGGGCTTGGGGACAGCATCGGAACAAACCCAGGGGTTTGCTGGAGCTGACACCTCTGGGGAAAATATCACCTCCAAACATGAGCTGCACAAACCTCATGGTCATTGAAATAGGTTTTGATCGTAGCCTAGTGCCTTAAGTCAGGCCTGATCTTCTCAGGGACCCCCAGTAAACCCAGAGCCCAAGGGATGGGGACCACCACCAAAATATAGGGCTGGCTGCAGAGCCTTGGATGGATGGATGGATGGATGGATGGATGGATGGATGGATGGATGGATGGATGGATGGATGGATGGATGGATGGTGACCACCTCTGCCCCCTTGGCACCCACCCCTGCCCGCGGCTGCTGAAGTGACAGCCTGGGGACACCCTGTGCCACACTTGGGGGCTCTGAGGCGCTGAGCAGGGCGGGCTGGGTGAGGCGCTGGGTCTCTGCAGCTGCCCAAACCAGGGAGCAGGGCAGGGGAGCCAAGAGGAGGAGCTGGGCAAGGCAGGACACGGCGGGGCCGCTCCATTTCCAGCCACTTTTGCAAGGAAAAGTTCTCAGCGCGCTGAGCAGGACGCACCCCGCGCTCCGGGCAGCTCAGGTGTGCTGCGACCACCAACTTTTGGACCTCCCCGTCCCCACCAGCCGGCTGGACAGACGCGAGGACAGACACACGGAGAGGCAAAGCAGGCTCGGGCGTTACCGAGAGCATCACGGCAGGCAGAGGAAAGCGTCGCTGCCGCTCGCACTTACCGGGCGGGGCGAGCAGGGGCGTCCGCTCCGTCCCGCTGAGCCTGGGCCGGCGCTGTGAGCCGGGGTCCCCCCGCTCGCTGCTTTTATGGCCGGGCTCCTGCTGATGTCAGAGGCGAGCCCCGAGCCGGGGCATCTCCCCTCCCTCCCTCCCCGCTGTCCCCTCTCATCGAATCAGCACCGGGATGCGGGTGAGTCAGAAGGGAGCAGCGTTTTATCGGGCTGAGGGAGGTGGTCTGGGGATATGTTAATGCCCGTCCTCCACGCGGGGTTATTTGGGACGAGGGGAAGTTTTCTCCTGCCGGGGTCGGTGTGTGCTGCTGCCCCGAACGCTGTGACTCCAGCGCAGGATTCACACCGGTACCACAACCCTCCACCCCCCCAAAAACCCTGCATGAGGGAAAGCAGAACACTCGGTACAGAGCCCAGGGGAAGGGGCACACGGGCTGGCAGGAACGGGCTTGTTCCCCAAATCCCCACCTTCCCTGCCCCCCACTCCCATTTCAAATGGATATTAAAGATTCCTGGTGTTTATTCTGCTGGATGTGACACTGGAGGAGCCAGCGTGAGGGTGTGTCCAAGCAGACAGAATGGGACATCCCAAAACAGGGACATCTCTGCACTGGCAGGACTGTGCAGACGCTGTCACCAGCAGGGTGTGGGCAGGGGGAGGGCTCTGTCATCCCACCCATGTGGGACAGAGCTCCAAATCAGGCACTGCCAGCTCCCCTGCCTGAGCACAGCCCCTGCTGGGGACAGCTGGGACACAAGGCACTGCCACAGATGTGCAGCAAAGCAGGGAAAAGGCTGGAGAGAGGAGAACCTGCCCCAGCCTGGGCTCCAGCCAGGACAATCCCCCCCCCTGGGCTCAGCAGGCCTCTCCACCCCAGGGCTGCTGCTGATATTCAGTACAGGTTTAAAGATTTAATACAGGTTTTAAAGCAATCCCTTGATGCTGTGGGCTTGTGTTTCTTGTGGCTTCAGCTGCCAGGCTGGGCTCAGGGTTTCCATGCAAGTTGGAGCAGTGCCTTTATTTCAGGCTCAGCCCCTCCTCAGCACCAGCCTGAGCATCCCCTTTACCCAACCAGTGGCTCCATCATTGGGCACCACTGACCCCCATCATCACACCTGTGGCCCTGTGGCAGTGTCTGGCCACTCATGTGGCCATCCTGATGTGCACCTTCTGCCCCACTTGGCTTCAGTGCTGCTGGTCCAGCTCCTGTCTGCTCCACCTGGCCAGTTTTGAAGCAAGGAGCGCACAGGATGGGTAAAGGAAGGGATGGAGCTGCTGGGGCAGGTCCAGAGGAGGCCATGGAGATGCTCTGAGGGCTGGAGCTGAGCTGGGAGTGCTCACCTGGAGCAGAGAAAGCTCTGGGGAGACCTCAGAGCCCTTCCAGTGCCTACAGGGGCTCCAGGAGAGCTAGAGAGGGACTTGGGACAAGGGATGGAGGGATAGGACATAGAGAATGGCTCCCACTGCCAGAGGGCAGGGTTGGATGGGATATTGGGAATTAGGAATTGTTCCCTGGCAGGGTGGAGAGGCCCTCAGAAAATTGTGGCTGCCCCTGGATCCCTGGAAGTGTTCAAGGCCAGGCTGGACAGAGCTTGGAGCAACCTGGAAGGCATCCCTGGCTTTGGCAGGGGGTGTGAGGAGATGGATTTTGAGGTCCCTTCCAAGCCCACCCATTCTGGGATTCCATGGGAAGGGAAAGGAGCCTTTGCTGGAGTGCCCTGAAAAAACAGACACTGGGAGATGGGTGGGTGGTTCTGGACACAGAATTGGCTTTATTGCATGATTTAGTGAACATTTATCATCATCTCTACACAGGCAAACGGGTCAGGAAACCAGCAAAGAACAAGGTGGGTGGCTGCTGAACAATGCCTTGGTGGGCTCTGCCGAGGTTCCCTGTTGGGGATTCCTGCACAGGGTCAGGTGTGGAAGGACTGGAGCCATGGCTGGAACCAGACAAGCAGGAGATGGGCTGGGGTGAAGGCTGAGCCCTGATGCCACAAGGGTGGGTGCAAACCCTTTGGATGGTCTTGGTGGAGCTCCCTTTTTCCAGCCCAGGAGCTGCCATCCCAGCACAGCACAGGCTGGATCCAGTGAAGCTGCAGTGCCCGGGAGGTTCTGCCACAGCAGAGGTTTGCACTTACCCTGTTGAGCTTCAGGCCACAAGGATTTAATTTGAAATTAAGAAACTGGATTTTCAGCTTCCAGCTGGGAAGCCCAGACTATGGACTTAGAATACTCTCTGGGGTGACCACAGGAGCAATTCCCAGGCAGTTAGAAGCCTCTACTGTTAGCAAAGCCAAACAAATGTGTTACTTGCATGAGAACTCAACCTACTGCTCCTAATTGAAGTGGTTTTAGCTCAGATGCTCAGGAATTGCCTAAAATGATCCAGCCTGGGTGGCCATGGAGGGGAAACTCAGCATTGGTCTGATGTCCCTGCTCCAGCTGTGAGTGATCCTCCCCACTTTGCCCACTGGGGAGGGAGGGAGGGAAGGAGGGAGGAGAGGGGGGGCTGTACAGGACAGGGACAGAACAAAAAATCCTCTTCCAAAGTGACCTGCAAGAGAAAGGAACCCTCTGCCCATCCTGCTGCTCTGCTCATGGGAATGGGGCTGGTACTGATCCACTGGGATCAGTGCAGAGTTGAATACTGGAGGAAAACAAACGTCCTGGGGGAGCTGGGGGAGGCTGACACCAGGGGCTGCTGCTGCCCCCAAAGGGCATCACAGCCCTGCCAAAGGATGGGGTGGCCCTAAGAGGCTCCACAATGCCATCACCAGGGACAGGGGACATGCTCATCCACCCAAGTGCACCTTGGCAGGGGCTGATCCCTCTGTGGAGCATGCTGGGGTTCTGTATCTTGCTGATACATGGAGCAGAGACACCTTCAAGAGCTGGAAAAACAAACCAATATCCCCCAACAAACCCTCCAGCCTTTCCTCCCACTTTTCTTGCCACTGCTTCCCTCAGCCTCACCTCACTGCCATCCTCTGATGGCCACAGCTGCTCAGGCATGGTGGCAGAAGCCTCAGTGGGTGTTTGCATGGCTTGGGGCAAAGAGCAAGTGCTCATTGGGAGGGGACCAGCACTGCTCTCATCCTGCTTTGCTGCTCAGGGCAGGGAAACAAAGCTCCACAGGACATGGCAGGGAATGGGACCAGCATCAGGATGTGAATCCCAGCACTGGGATGCCCGGATCCCTCTGCTACCTGGGGTACCCCAAGGGCATTCCACACTCACTGTCAGCTCCTGTGCCTGCTCACAGCAGCCTGGAGAGAGCAGGGACAGGCACTGACAGCTTCTGCCAAGGGAGGGCTGTGTCCTTGCCCTGTCCCTGTGCTGGATGTCACACTGACACCCAGCTGCCCCCAAGGAGGTCACTCCTGCTCTGCCCCTCTCTGGTGCCCTTGGCTGGCCCAGTACCAAAGAGCTGCCCCAACCCAAGGTCCCATTCCAGCATCCTCCCATGAGAACCCCTGGCCACGTGTCTGCACCCCAGCGCTTTGCTCCTCCTCCCATGGCCTCTGGCTTCCTTTCTGTCCAGGGTTTCAGGGAGAGAGGGGCTCAGGAGAAGGAAGAGTTGCAGGGAAGGCTGTGAGAGGCTTGGCTTTGCTGAGGTCTCGTATCCTCACTGGAATGCGGCAGCAGGGAGGTCCCCTCTCCTCAGGACAGGTGGGTCATCACAGGCTTCTGCAGGGCACAAGAAGGAGAAACCTCAGTGTCCACACCAATCTGAGCCAACCCAGCATCCCCTTGTCCCTTTCTAGGAGTGAGTCCCTGTCCCACCCCATGGACAATGCAGGAGTTCAGAGATGTTCATCCTCTCTGGGGCTGTGACATCCCCGACCTCAGGGGGGTGCCCGGGCCTTCCTGCCCTCACCAGGCAGCAGGGAGGGAGCTGAGGGCTCCATAAGCTCCAGGAGAACCTGGGGGAGGACAGTCCCAGGGGAGGCCAGGCCAGCAGCCCTGCCAGGGGCTGGTCCATACCGCGAAGAGCCGCTCCACCCTCCTGTTCTTGCCGTTGGGGTTCCTCTGCGTCAGCGAGCCGCGGTACGCGGAATTGCGGTCAAAGGAGTCGTCAAAACCTGCAGGGAGGCAGGAGAGGTGGCCAGCAGCTC